CATTTAATCGCGAGAAGGAGCAATTAAAATTTTAGCTAATATGTTGCTGACCATTGGCTGAAATAAATTCAAGTAATTATGTCGGCCGAAAGCCGAACGCTGGTCAGCGTTTGGGAACAGCTATTCTGACTGCTGAAGTACTGACGCAGAAAGGACTTCAGAATTCATAGTAAAAAATCTCTTTATTTTTCTTATTTGATTTCTTAATTTTACGTTATAATTAAATAAATTAAAATTTTCGCTTTCATCTTGCAGACCATTGATTGAAATAAATGTTATGCACACTGCGTCGGCCGGGATTCGAACCTGGGTCAACTGCTTGAGAACAGCTATCTTGACCGTTGAATCATTTTACTTGCAAAAGCATTTCACAATTGATAGTAAAATCTCTATATTTCGCTTCTTACTTTAATATTTTTTATCGCGAGAAGGAGCAATTAAAATTTCTATTCTTATCTTGTAGACTAATTGGGTTGAAATAGCGGCGCAATTCCGTCGCGGGAGTCGAACTCCAATGTTGTTTGTAGTTATTTGACTGTTGAACTACCGAGCGCGAAAGAACTTCAGAATTGATAGTAAAAATTCATATTTATCTTCTTTTGTTTTATAATTTAAAAGGAGAGAGAGTACTAAAATTTTCGCTTCCATCTTGTAGACCATTGCTAAATAAAATAAAGTTACAATTGCGTTCTATGGGGGAGTTTGAACCGGGACAACTGTTGAAAACAGCTATTCTGACCGTTAATTACTGGCGCGCAAAAGACTTTAGAATTGATAGTAAAATTCATATATATTTCTTTCTTTTACTTGTATATTTATGGAAAGGAGCAATTCAAATTTTCGCTTCTATCTTGTAGACCATTAAGAAATAACAGCAATGTAATTGTGCTTCAGCTGGAAAGTCGAATCTGGCCAGTTGTTTGTAGCATACCTGACTGTTGGAATACTATGCAAATCCTTAAGAATTGATAGTAAAAATTGAGTATTTTCTTCTTTTTGCTATATGTTATCAAGAGAAGGTGCAATAAAAATTTTTACTCCTATCTGCAGACCACAAGACATATGTTAGGGAAATTGTGTCGGCTGAATGAACCTGGGTCAACTGTTTTAAACATCTATTTGACCATGGAACGTTAGACGCTGAAAGGACTTCAGAATTGATTGTAAAAAAATCATATTTTCTCTATTTTGTTTTATAATTTTATATATAGTATAAATAAAATTTTCGCCTCATCTTGGTGATCAACATTGAATAAATAAATGTTGAGAAGAAACTAAAGGCTTGGACTGAACTGGCCACTGCTTGAGAAACAGTTCTGACCGTTGAACTACGGACTTGCAAAGTATCACAATCGATATAAAATTCTAGGTTTCGCTTCTTTACTTTAATATTTATGAGAAGGAGAAATTAAAATCTTTCATTCTGCATCTCAGACCATTGGGTTGAAATGAAAGTTAAGCAATTCAGTCGGCGTGGGGAGTTTGAACTAAATACAATGTTTGTGAAACAGCTTTTTATTCTGACTGCTGAACTACCGACGCGAAAGAACTTCAGAATTGATAGTAAAAATCATATTTATCTTCTTTTGTTTTATAATTTAAAAGCGAGAGAGGCAATAAAATTTTCGCTTCCTATCTTGGTAGACCATTGGCTGAAATAAAGTTACAACTGTGCTCATGGGGATTGAACCCCGTGGGGACAACTGTTGTTTTGGGAAACAGCTATTCTGGACCGTTGAGTTCTATAAAAAAAAGACTTTAGAATTGATAGTAAAAAATCTCATATATATTTCTTCTCTTTGTTTTATATGTTATCGAGGAAAGTTTCTTATCTTGTAGACATTGGTTGAAATAATGCCAATGCACTATGTCGGGCTGGGAGTTTTCCAGTCCCGGTCAGCTGTTTCTAGAAACAATATTCTGAATTGTTGAATTATCAAGGCAACCTTAAGAATTGATAGTAAAATCTCGTATATTTCTCTTCTTTTATTTATATCATGAGAAGGTGCAATAAAATTCTTTGTTTCCATTTTGCAGACCAATGATATAAAAGTTAGGCAATGGTTACGGTCGCCGATCGAACCTGGGTCAATACTAGTTGAAACATGCATTTCCTGACCGTTGATACAACGACGCCGAAAGACTTAAATTATTGATAACTATAAATCCTCATATTTTCTTATTTTTATAATTTTCCATTAGAGGTGAGCAATTTAAGATCCCTTCGCTTCCTATCTTGCAGACCATTGGATTGAAATAAAAGTTATGCATTGCGTCGGGGGGTCGAACCGGTCAACTGTATTGGGAAACAGCTATTCTGACACTTGAACTACCGTGGCTCCGGAAAGAATCTCAGAAATTGATTGTAAAAATCTGGTTTTCTCTTCTTTTTTTATATGCTTTACGCGAGTAAGAGCAGATTAAAATTTCGCTTCTATCTTGCAGGACCATTGGGTTGAAAAAGCAAAATTATCATTGCGTCGGCCGGGATCGAACCCGGTCAATCTGTTTGGGACGCCTATTCGCGTTGAACTGGACTCATGACGCAATAAAGATGCTTTTAGAATTAGATTGTAAAAATATATATTTCTCTTCTTTGTTAATATATCTTTAATCGCGAGAAGGCAGCAAATTAAAATTTCCGCTTGCCTATCTTGGCAGATCATTGTTGAAATAAAGTTATGCGATTGCGTCTGGCCCGGGAATGGAAGCGGTCAACTGTTTGAAAGACCTATCTGACGTTGAACTGCGGCAGAAATCAGAATTGATTCCTCGTCCAAAAGCCATTAACTCTTCTTTGTCTTGGTACTATTTACATAAGGTGCATAAATTTCCTTCATCTTGGAATTATTTATGTCTTAAAATGAATGTAATTGTTCTGGAGTAAATCCATCAACTGTTTCTGTTATGCTGTTGCAACTGGTCGCAGGAACACGAGAATGATTGTATAATTTGACTTTCGTTTGTTTGATTATGCTTACGTGCGAGAAGTAATAACGACGCATGCCTCATCATATATGAGCCTATAATTGCTTCAGATATATAAAGATCCTCAATTGCCTGAGACGAACTATCATTTTAGGATGAAAGCGATCTGCTCGACCGTTGAACTACCGACAACGATCGTTTAAGGAACTTCATTGTAAAAATCTCATATTCTGCTTCTTTCACTGTATTACAGCTGAGAAGAGAATCGAATTCATTTACGCCTTCTTATCTTGCAGACCATTGTTGTTGAAATAAGAATGCTTATACAATTCGTCAGGCAGGATCGAAGCAGGTAACTGTTTGGGAAACAGCTATTCCCTGACGCTTGAACTACTTATGCGCAGCGACGCTGAATAATTATAGTAAATCTCATATTTACTCTATTTTGTTTTTATATTTTATATGAGATAGGAGCTTAAAATTTTCATTACATATCTTGCCTCATTGGATTGAAATAAAGTTCATGCAATTGCGTCGGACTGCAGGTAACCCGGGTCATTATGTTTGGAAACACTATTCGACCGTTGAACTACTCCGAGGACGAGAACTTCAGAATTAGTAAAATCTCACATATTTCTCTCTTTTGTATTTATATTTAATGCGCGAGAACAGCCAATTAAAATTTTCAGCTTATCTGTAGCAATTATTGGTTGAAATAAAATTATGCAATTCCGTCGGTCGGGGGAGCCGAGACCCGGGTCAGATGTTTGTGTAAACAGCTATATCTAGACGTTGAACTACCGACATTGAAGACTTCACAATTGATAGTAAATCTCATAATATTACTCTTCTTTAGTTTTAATCTTTTACAAAGGAGCGAGTATAAATTTTCTGTTCTTATCTTGTGGCTGACCATTGGGTTGAAATAAAGTTATTAATTGCGTCGGCCGAGTGAACTGTCGTGATCAACTGTTTTCAGGAAACAGCTAACACTTACCGTTGAACTACCGACGCCGAAAGGATCTCTAGAATTTATTGTAAAAAATCTCATATTTTTTTTTTTATTAATTTTAACGGAGTAAGTAAGAATTTAGTCACCTAGCTTCCTATGTTGACTGACCATTGGATTGGAAATAAAATTCAAGTAATTGCGTCGGCGGAGTCGAACCGGTCAACTGTTTGGAGGAAACAGTAAGCTATTTCTTGGACCGTTGAATACTTGACAGCTGAAAGGACTTCAGAATTGCATAGTAAAAATCTCTATTATCCTTACTTTTGATTTTCTAATTTAACGCGAGATGATTACATAAATTTCGCTTCTCTTCTTGCAGACCATTGGGATTGGAAATAAAGTTATTACAATCGTCGCCGGGAGTCGGAACCCTGGCCGCAATTTTTGAGAAACAGCTATATCTGAGGCCGTTGAACTGCGCTTGCAAAAAGCATTTCAGATTGATAGTAAAATCTCAAAATATTTCGCTTAATGTTTTTACATGACGCGGAAGCACACATTAAGAATTTCCCTTATTCCTATGCTTTCTGACCATTGGTTGAAATAAATTCAATAATTGGTGGCGGGAAGGAACTCCGGGTCAGCTTTGCTTGTGGAAACAGCTATTCTGACCCGTTAACTACCACGCCAAAAGGAACTTCAGAGTGATAGTAAAAAATCTCCCCATATTTACTTCTTTTTTTTATATTTAACTGCGATAGAGCAGTTAAATTTTCGCTTCCTATCTTTCGTGACCATTGGTTGTGAAATAAAGTTCAAAGCAATTACTGCGTCGGCAGAGTCGAACCGGATACGTGTTTGGAAGTACTATTTACTGACGTTGGACATACGGCGCGCAAATCAACTTTAGATTGATATTAAAAAATCTCGTATTTCTTCTGCTTCTTTTGTTTTATATGTTCGTCGAGAAAGTAGCAATACAATTTTTCGCTTCTGCTATCTTGTAGACCATTAGTTGACATAAAAGTCCTGGCAATGGTGCTCGCCGGGAGACGAAACCGATCATCTGTTTGGGAAACAACATTCTGACCGTAGAACTACTGCAAAACGAATTGCTTAAGAACGATTGTAAAAATCCTTACATTTTGTTTTGAGTTTTAACGCGAGAAGGGAGCAATAATTATTTTCATCTTATCTTGCAGATCATTGGGTTGAAATAAAAGAATTGCGTCGGCCGGGAGTCGAACCCGGGTCAACTTGGGAAACATTTATTCTGACCTACAGGTAACTATCGACGCGCGAAAGAACTTCCAAGTGATAGTAAAAAATCTCATATTTATCTTCTTTGTTTGTATAATTTAACGCGAGAGAGCAATTAAAATTTCGCTTCCTATCTTGCAGACCATTGGGTTGAAATGCCTTTGTACTGTCGGCCGGAGTCGAACCTGGGTCAATTACTTTTTTTTGAGAAACAGCTAATCTGGATCAAGAACTAATACCGAGCGCGAAAAGAAAATCAGACCGATAGTAAAATCTCGTACCTTGCTTTTTTTTCTTTAATGATGACCGCGAGAAGGAGTAATTAAAATTTTTAGCTTCCCCAGTGTTGCTGACCATTGGGTTGAAATAAATCTTCAAGTAATTGTAATGCATGTGGGCGTCAAAACCTGGCTTGCCAAGCTGGAAGAGTAGGCTATTCTGACCAAGTTGAACTACCGGACGCGCTGCTGACTTCAGAATCTACATAAAAAATTCTATATTTTATTTTTGATTTAATTTTACGCGAGAATTAACAATTAAAATTTCGCCTTATCTTGCAGACCATTGGATTCAAATAATGACATAATAACGCCGGTCGGGAGTCGAACCTACGTCAACTGTTTAAAACAGCCATTTCTGACCGTTGAATTACCGGTAGCGCAAAAAGACTTCAGAATTACAGTAAAAATCTCATATATATTTCTTCTTTTGCCGGAGTATGTTATCGAGGAAGGAGCAATTCAAATTTTCGCCTTTATCTTGTAGACCATTGGGTTGAAATAACAGCTATGCAATTGCGTGCGTCGGCCGGGAGTCGAACCTGGTCAAAGGCTGTATGTGAAACAGCTATTCATTCGTTGAATACTGGCGCAAATCCTTCAGAATTGATAGTAAAAATCTCATATTTCTCTTATTTTGTTTTATAATTTTACGAGATAGCATGAGCAATTAAATTTCGCTTCCTCATCTTGCAGACCATTGTTGAAATAAAAAGTTATGCAATTGTATCGAGTCGAAACCGTCATCTGTTTAGATTCAGCTATTTGACTGTTGAATACTGACGCTGAAAGAATTCTGAATTGATAGTAAAATCATATTTTCTTTTGTTTTTATACTTTTATCGTGAGAAGGAGCAATTAAAATTTTCGCCTTATCTTCCAGACGATTGGGTTGGAAACAGTTATGCAATTGCGTTTGCCGGAAGTCGAAACCCGGTCAACTGCTTGAGAAAGATTATTTCTGGTCCGTTGAACGGCCTGCTGCATCGAAAGGAATTCAGAATTGATAGTAAAAAAATCTCATATTTTCTCTTTTGTTTTAGAGCAATATTAACGCAGAAGGAGCAATTAAAATTTTCGCTTCCTATTAGGGATTGCAATCAAGACCACTCTGATCCGGTCGCTCCCTATCAATCCGACCGATATGGCCGATGAGACATTATCAAAGCTATTTGCTTTTTCAAAACCAAAATCAAGTGTATAACACTCAGTATTACTAAGTTTATAAAAAAAGCGTTAATTTCTTATGAAATCAACTTTATTTATTAATCGTTATAATTAATCAACATTTACGTATGAATCAAAAATAAAAAATTTAGTATAATAAAACTAGTTAAATTAGATAATTGTTATGTGCTATTTTTAGTAATAATTAGATAATGACGGGTAAGTTAAGTTCAAATTTTACTTACTAGATTTACATATGACATTAATGATAACTTGTACGTAACTTATATTATGTAAGCAACTTATATTTAAATTTAAATTAAATCCAAGCTATCATCTGAAAATAATTCAATAATTAGTATTTTAGACCTCGCCAAGCAGTTCATTCTTATACTATGACAGTCATCATGAATCTGTTTAATGAATGGCACAATTATACAATAACCAGTTTAAAACTTCTTCGTATTTTTTAACATACTTACTTTAAAATTATTATTTTGAAGTAAAACAATTTTTTTAAAAAAACTGACTTGGTTTTGAAACAATTATCGTAGGACACAAAAGTGTTAATTGTGTCATCTGGTCAATCAATTTTCTTACAGAGCTATAAATATAACTGTATGGCCTAGAAAGCCCTTCTGCTTCTATTACACTGTTGGTTTTATTGTCGTTTAAATACTTTGCAAATAGAAGTCACATTTTCCTCGAACCCTTCACTTTCACATGCAGCTGGCCTCTCTTCTCTAATGTTTTCTCTGTTAATCTTTCTTTTTTTTGGCATTTATTATGCCTAGGTTTTCATATCTTGCTGGATTTGCATCTAATTCATTCTGTAATATCAAATCACTTTTCAATGACTCATGAACTGAGTTATTTTCTACTATATTATCTTACGTTTTCTTTAAAGCTATCATTTTGAACAAATCTTTCTAAAATGTTTTTCATTTAGTCTTTACAACTTTTTTTTTTCGGAGCAGTAAATGTATCATCAGTCTGTCTTGTATCATCATCATATTTTTTTTATTTTGTAAGTCTATTATTACTGTTTTCATTTTGAATTGGTTTCAAAAAAGTGGAAATGTTTGTTTAGAACTTTTAGACTAGTTCCGCAATGAGCAATACGTAACTGAACGAAGTACATCGATCCTTTCTTTAAGATTTAATCGCGAGAAGGAGCAATTAAAATTTTAGCTTCCTATGTTGCTGACCATTGGGTTGAAATAAAATTCAAGTAATTGCGTCGGCCGGGAGTCGAACCCGGGTCAGCTGCTTGGGAAACAGCTATTCTGACCGTTGAAGTACCGACGCGCGAAAGGACTTCAGAATTCATAGTAAAAATCTCTTATTTCTCTTATTTTGATTTCTAATTTTACGCGAGAATTAACAATTAAAATTTTCGCTTTCTATCTTGCAGACCATTGGATTGAAATAAATGTTATACAACTGCGTCGGCCGGGATTCGAACCTGGGTCAACTGCTTGAGAAACAGCTATTCTGACCGTTGAACTACGGACTTGCAAAAGCATTTCACAATTGATAGTAAAAATCTCATATTTCGCTTCTTTACTTTAATATTTTATCGCGAGAAGGAGCAATTAAAA